TTTTTGTTTTTTTCAGGATATCTTTTCTTCCTTTACTTTCCTTATTGTTATTTGTTCTTCAGAATTCAGCTCAGACACATTTATTCCAGACGAAGCTTTCCTGCTTCCTCTGCCCCAGTTAGGAGGTACCCCTCCAGTGTGTTCCAGTCTCCACTACCTCTGACTTTCAGTTACAGTTGACCACTAGGGACAAAGGCAGATGATCACAGGGAGGAAGCAGAGTGAGGTAGGGTTATTTGTTCCCACATTCCCCTCTGCTTGGTTGCTGCAGGCTGACCGTCCTGTGCCCAAGGCCACAGCTCATGACAAACAGTGTTCTCCATATAAGTTTCTCTCCAAGTCCTAACTGTTCTCTCCCCTTTCCTCTTCATGCAGAGGGTGTTATGCCTCCCCATGGTTCCTGGCCCCAGAGTACTATGGTGCTTTTCCTACACCTTGCCCACATCTGTGTAAATACCCCCTTTATTAAGTCCTTCAATTACCCAGCTTGAGGTGTCCTCTATTTCCTGCTGAGACTCTTCTTGACATATAACTGATCCCATCTGGGGCCCAGGAGGCCTCATGCCTATGCTGGCTGGACCCACACAGGCTCTAGGCCCCTGCTTAGTTCTTAAGAAAAGCAAAGTCCTTTCTAACAAATATTCAAAAGGACCTTCAATTAAAGTCCAATATGACCTCACCATGACAGTTTGATACCCAATCTCTTTCCTGGATCTTACACCTAGAAAATCTTGAATTGCCTTCACACCCTCAGCCTTCCACATATGGCTTTCTTCCAAAGCAACAGTTTTATGAATTTGCTCGTGTGTTCATGGATCTTTCCAGATTTTTAGGTTCTTTTCTTTTCATGTGCTTTCCCTTACACACCCTTCTTGTACCTCAGTCCTTTTCTGCCCTCTTCCTAGAATACCCTCTCTCCTTTCCTTAGCCAAGACCCAGCTGCCTGGTCACCTCCTCCCAGCCACAAGTAGAATTTCCTGACTTTGAGTATTGTAGTGCTTGATTTTTACCTCTCCAGTGGCACTGTATAATTTGTAAAATGCTTTACCTCCACCTACAAGATGATAAATTCAAGCTCTCTCTGAGCTGAGCTTTGTAACTCCATCAGATCCAAACACAGTACTTTACAACTTATCTGTGAACAAAAGTATGTATGCGATGGCTGGATAGCTGATAGATAAACAGAGAGGTATTCTTTATTGCATTACTCTTTCTGCTGTAGGGCTTCTCAGCTTTAAGGTATCTGTCTGGCATTACTTCACTCTTAATCATCCACTTCATGCTGAGTAAGATTAGTATCTTCAAAATTCATTTTTTATCAACATAAATATCTTCAACTCTTGGTGCACAAAAGAAATACAGTTAATGTATAAACATTTATATTGACCCTCAGAAAGACTTTTAAGTTGATAAACACAATAACAGTTTGGGTTCCAGTTGCACAAGAGAAATCAGTTTAATATTCCATAGCTATTCAGCCACTGACATTTTAAAAAAAGAACAAATCTGGGGTGCCTGGGTGGCTCAGTGTGTTAGGCAACTGACTTTGGCTCGGTTCATGATCTCACAGTTTGGGAGTTCGTGCCCCGTGTCGGGCTCTGTGCTGACAGCTCAGAGGCTGGAACCTACTTCAGATTCTGTCTCCCCCTCTCTCTACCCCTCCCTTGCTCATGCTCTGTGTCTGTCTTCAATAATAAATAAACATTAAAAAATTAAAAAAAAAAAAAAAGAAAAAATCCAGGTTGGTAGATAATGTCTTAGCCACATTGCGGTGCTTTAAATGAAATAATGCATTAATTGGCAAGAAAGAAGATGGTCCTGTGTGTGTTCCATGCAAACAAGAGAGTTTCGAATACATGATTGTTCTCTCATAGTCATATTCCACATGTTATTTTTCAAATCGAATATAAACACCCTTTGAAAGAGTTCATTCCCTGATTTGATCATGAAGAGACAGTGTTATCATGAGAATTATTGCTTACAAGGACATGATATGGGCAATAGACCTAGTAAAATGACACACGACCTCTGGTGCATATGCCAGACATACTTGCAAAAACAAAAATTAAGATGTGGGATAGTAGCTGCAAAAAATTTTAAGTCTTTTCTTTTTTTTTTTTTTTTTTTTTTGCCTTTTGAAACTATTATTAACTTAATCCTACAGCTACAAATAGCCTGGATTTTATGAAATTATCTGAAGCTGACTTTGATGCATAAATTTGGGCCCTAACATGAAGCTTGTTTAAAGTTCTGCTGACATTTCCTTCCTACAACCCTTTCCATGGACTTTTTCCCTGAGGTAGTTTGGCTGGGCTACAATGAAAAGTCTCTGCTTAGTAGCACTTCTTGATAGTCTATCCTTTTGTGCCCAAGTAAGCCTTTCATTTTGTCTTGAGTCTTTCATGATCGTTATTGTCATATGGTCATTATGTAGGTCTGCGGGTATGATATGCTACCCACTCCATGTCTCAAACAATTCCTTCAGCTGTTTGCCAAGTGCTTCTTGCAAACTTTTGTCACATACTCTTCAAGTGTGACATTTGGATCTGCCTTGAAGAGAAATACTTGAAGTTAATCCCCTAGGTCAGATCCAGGAGGACTCATGTGCTTGAATATTACCTAAATCAACCATGATTTCAAATCAGATCAAATATCATGACTATTTCAAATGCTTCTTTGAGTAAACATGGAAGATGGAGACTAGAAAAATGTACTCTTATGAAGGCGTTACATTAAGTCATCTTGCCATTAAAACCATAGTAAGAAAGAAATGTGATTACAAACTATGAGGTAAAGGCTTCAATACAAGCAGGAGATGGAGGAGAAAGTAGTGCTACTTAACCTCGTGTCCTCACATAAGTTTCTTAATTTTGAATTGTGATGTCAACATTTTTTTAAAGTAGGTGGGATTGAGCTGATCAGAAAACTGTATTTGAAAGGACTCCAATCTAACTCTTCTGAATTCTTATGCAAAAATCCTTGAACGTTATAATTAGGTTAGCAATTTTTCTCTACTGTGAAAGCATAGGAAATGGATGTTTTAGTTTAGGAAAGATTTTAATGTAAATTCTGGCCTGGGTTTTTCATTGTTTGTTAGAGTTTGTTTTCTTCTTCTTGGATCTCCCCTTGGACCTTCTGTTCCTTCTGTCAGGCAGGCTGCTGCCCCCTTCATGACTCAGCAGCATGCTGTGAGTAAACACTGAATCTTTGGTCCAGGCCCACACTGGGAGGCTCTTCTGACTCTCTAGGACGTACAGAACAGTGAAGACAGAGCATTTGCAGTAACTGCAGAGTGTGGAGGTTGCACAAAGGAAGCAAACACTGTTTGTGGAAAATTTAAATATGCAAAGGTCATTATTGTCTTTAAGAATACTCTAAATCAAATGATCTCTAGCAAAGCAAAACAGAACACTGATATCATTTTCTTGTATCTATTGTCAATACTGCTTGAGTTCCTGCTTTCCCTATGCTCTGCTGTGCACATTACTAGCCACCATGAAGTTGCTCTAGAGATGGGAGACACTTCTCAACACTGACGTCTCAGAATAAAGGTCCCTTTGAATGTCCAAGCTCTTTCTTAACAACATATGTGCATGTGCACCAATCCTGCTTCATTTTCATCATAGCCCTGTCACTATCTAACAATATATTTGATAATGTTTTCAGTTTTTAATTTGGGGTTGACAATGGAACATCCAATTGAAGAATCATCAGACAGGAAGGAAACATGGCCAAACTAGCCTTAGTAGAATTTTGTTTATGGAAACTATGTATTTCATATATTTCATCATTCTTATCCTGAAAATGCTGTCAAGGTGGACAAATCCTCCTTATCTAAGGTAGTTATGTGACTTTTACTAGAAAACAGAAATGGTAGGATAGGAAGGCTAGGTTTTATTTGCATGGTCAAACAGGCACTGTCTAAATTTCCAAATGAAGGTACACATTTCATTACTTTCAAAGTGCTATGAAAATTGAACATAATATATATATAAGTAAGTATTGTCATAGTCCCCAGAAATCAGATGCTTTCGTATGAATTTGGAGAGTGAATCTTATGTAGTTGGCAAAAGAAATGGAATTCTTTAGTTGAAAATTATAACTTCTGATATTGTAACAAATCTAACTCTATGATGATGTGCAATCATATGCATTCTACTTCACTATAAAATAAACCTTTCCGTTCAACAAATATTAGTAAATTCCCTATATCTGCCAGGCACTGTATTAGATGCCTGGTGATACATGAGTGAACAAAGCAAAGATCTTACCCTCACAGAGCTTTCAGTTTAATGGGAAAGACAGACATGAATCGGATAAACACCATAACTATCTACCAGTAATGCTTGATGTGAAAGAAACATGCCAGATGCTACAGAACATATGGCAGATGAATGCACTCTGGTCTAAGTTTGGGGAAGGTCTCCCAAAAGAAGTGACATTTGAGCTGATACGTGAAATAATTAGTTGTTCAATTGGTACATGCAGAGTGGAAAAGGGAGTGTGTGTGTGCCAGAGAGTGGAAATATCATGTTCAAAAGAGTTGGGCTTGCCTTTGCAATGTTATGTCTTCACCTAACATCTTTGAGGGCACTGCTTTGACTTTTGCTGTTAAATGACTAAATATACTTGGTTTATAAAGTTGCATTTCTAAGCAGTTCATGTGAACAGAATATCATGAAACAAAAGAGTTAAGCACAGCGGGCTGGATGTCTGGATATCTGGATCCCCCCTAACCACTGCTAACCAGATGCTCTTTTAGTGAACTATATTCCTTTTGAAAATCTCAGTGAGGTCTTTCAACACTTTCTCATTATCATATCTAAATTGTGCATTCCTTTAGGGACAAAGGGGGAAAGGTTAACCAAATTCATAATTTATTAGCACACTCTCCAAATATGCTTACTGGGTTCAGGTTCATTGTACAATTCTGACTTTTGATCACTTGCCAAATAAATCATGGAAAATAAAAGGCTTGATCATTTTCTTACCTTCAACAGTTGTAAACCAAGATGGCCAGCCTCTCATAGAAGGAAAACTTAAAGAGAAGCAAGTCAGATGGAAGTTCATCAAAAGGTGGAAAACTCGTTATTTTACGCTGGCCGGAAATCAACTTCTGTTTCAAAAAGGAAAGTCTGTAAGTTACCCTCTTGTCTTTTACACTTGCATTTTTAAGGTCCTGTTCTCCACCAAGCAGCTAGGCATTTTGTCTTGAGTTAAAACACCAATAATTTTTCCTTTTCCATTTATAATTTTACAGCATCATTTTACTGCATATGCCCCTTGGACTGTCTATTCTGTTCAGCCCTACATTAGTTGGTTCACTGTCTCTCTTCAATTTATTATGGTAGATCTTTTTTGTTGACTTAAGTTTTAGAAAGATGAACTGCAGAAGAACTACACAGCGAGCTTGACTTGAAGAACTACACAGCGAGTGTGCCTTTTGTTTCCTCATAGATCAGCTACATAAATTAATGTCTTATGATATGGACCTTGATTTCATTTATACTAAAGGTTATATTTGGAGGCAGGGACCCAAGGAAGGGGGACAGTAGGCTGGGAGAAAGAAACAAAGGCTGAGTTATTTAAGTCCTTTTTGTAGTCAGCTAAGTTCATATTTTAGGTATTTAGTATTCAGTTAATGAATAGAATATGATTCTAAAAGAATTAATAAATATTCATGTAATACAACTTTCAACCTGAAACTAGGAGGCTCAGTAAATATCTGTATTCTGAATTTCTAGTGGGAAACTTCTGAAGTAGCATTCTATTCCAATAGACAATGCAAAGTTATCCTCTTCTTTTCAAATCAGTTTTATTTATCGTTAAATTCTACTCATTCAGGATCAGGAAGAAAGAAAGCTTGACCTACTTCTTGGATATTTTGAATTTAGTAATAATAGCTTATCACATGCCATGCTGGATTGCCTTCAAGAATCCTCAGAACAGTCCTTTGAAGTCAGAACTATTGTTACTGCCATGTTATGGATGCTGCATCTGGGGTGACTTGTCCTCCCTCCTTCCCTCCCTGCCAGAGGGTAGAAGCATGTTCCTTTGGGCTGGGCCAACCCAGCGGCTTCCACAACTGAGAACCCTTACTTGCCTGTGTCTTTCCTGGGAGGGGCAGGCACCAGGTTAATTTCAATGCCAAGATAGCCTTGTGGAATCTGACTTGAGCAGGCAGTGGAGGCACTTTCAGTCTTATCTAGCTACCAGACAAGCCAGGAAGGGCAAGACGCTGGCCTTTGGATTCTTGTCCAGTCCCACTTTTACAGGTATTATTTGAGCCCCAGAATCAGAGTGATGGAGAAAACATGTTCATATGCCCACATGGCCATCCACTCCTGTGCAAAGATGCCCCGAGAACACACATACAACACCCTGCTCACACCTCTGTACCCATTGTGCTCCACTCATGGCCTTTGGGACCCAGGATCTGTCAATTATTACCAGGAGTTGTCTTTGGTCCTGGTCAAAGACATCTGGGAAATACAAAGGAGCTAAAGGCTCTGACAAGTCTTTCAGGAAAGGGCCCACTTAATTTTGTTTAGTGTATCTCAAACTTGTTCTACCATATGGTTCCTTAACATCATGTAACATCAGACCCTGCCTCACTCCCTTCCCCTTGTGAGAGAGACAGAGACAGAGATAGAAAGAGACAGAGAGACAGAGACTCTGACTGGCTTGACCAAGGATAGAGCCAGTAAGGCAGAAAGGGATAAAACTGGAGTCAGACACAGGCCGTGTGACATCAAAGCACGTTGTTAAATGAATGCACCATCCTGCTTCCCATGAACACTTAAAATACAGAGCCAGTGGCAAACCAAACTGTTTCTGAATTAATTGATGAAAGATTTTAAATTATTTAAAATTATGAGTCAATGAGAACATAGGCACTGTGTCTTTAGAATGCTCATTATAAAATTTATTTGAACTTTTTACTCAATAGCTATATAGTATGGTATATCTGAATTACAACAAATTTTGATCAAATGCTTTTTTAATCAATAAAACTTGAAGTTAACTTTCTGAATGAAAAAAAAATTGGTGATACCTACGTTAAGCTCGTGCTGCTTTCTTCATCTGTGTGTATTGCAAAATGTACAGATGGACCTTTCTGTGGCTGAAGATCTTTTTGAAAGGGAAGTAAATGGTGTGCTCAACTTAGACAGTTATTTATTGGCGGTTTAAAGAAATTTTTTGTTAGCACTGCTCCATATTGAAGTACTTGAAAGTGTTTAAAATGACCATCTGAATTTCCTGTTTTTATTAAAGTAATCAGAATTAGAAGTTAAGATGCAGTGATTTCTTAGATCCCTTGAGACGGAGCAGAGTTAGTGCATAAGAACGTCTTTCCTGAACTCAAATAACCACCTTTATAGTTCTTGATTCAGAGCTTTTTAATAAAGCTTAGTGAATAAGCTATCTTATAGTTGGCTAACTTGTTTGACATCTTTAGAGGGAAATAATGGCTTGACATTTTAGAAATCTGACAGAACGTGTGGCTCAAATATTGGGAAGTGATATAATGTACTCTAAAGACCACAGCAACTTCTCTGTCATCATCAGGGACACAGGAACCTAGCAGTGGTCACCAGTCCAGCCGAAGCTTCTGCCCCATCAAAAAGGACCTTTCTTGTAAATGAGGAAAATGTGCATTTTTAATAAGAATCGAAAGACTATGGTGTTTTTTTTTTTACTTTTCCATTCTTAAGGTCTTGATCTCTACCAACCAGCCAGGCAAGGTGCCCTTTGACTTCCCGCCCATTTCTCTTGGGTAATTTTCGCTGTCCCTCTTTAGAGAACTGTGGTAACTTTTTGTTCTCTTGATCAATTTCTCCATGTATCAATTTCTATACTACAGACTAATTCAAAGAAATATAATCTTATTGCTGTCAGATATTTACTAGAAACCAAAGTAAACTAACAAAGTATTATGTAATACACGTATCTTCAAACTTTAGTCTGTCTATTCCCTAAAAGAATTTTGAAAAATCTGTGTAATACCTTGTAGCATTTTTTTAGTCAATCATAAGTTTAAAAAGTCACACAAACTGTAATTTCTGTTGAATTATAAATATTATAATTTTCTTTTTTAGGCTTATTTACTTATTTTGAGACAGAGAGTGAGAGTGGGGGAGGGACAGAGAGAGAGGGAGAGAGAGAGAATCCCACTGACAGTGCAGAGCCTGATCCAGGTCTTGAACTCATGAACCATGAGATCATGACCTGAGCCATCATGAGTTGGACACTTAACCGACTGAGCCACCCAGGCACCCCTAAACATTATCATTTTAAGATAAAAAGATCACACCTCTCCTTTCAATATGACCACTGGGCTAAGATACCATAGCAGTTTGATACCTAACACCGTCCATTAAAAAAATACATGAATTAGTTCATCTTTAATCAAAATGGTTACATGATATCATTTTCTTTGAAATAATATTTTTTCTACTCCCACAGCATTTATCCTGATCACCCAATCATTTTTCACTACAATAAAACTACACGTATAAATTGAAATTTAATTATTTTAATTTTTTATTACTACCAGTCTCTCAATGCTAAGATTTTTAAAATATTTTTTAAATTATATCACTTATGCAAAGTCAAAAGTGTAATACAAAATGTAATAAATAGTTACTAAACATTAAAGAGTGAAATGCTATTGGAAATGCATCTCTTAATGAAATAGCTGGAGAGTGATTATGTTGCTTTGGTTGAAGGACACTTCCCTGAGATCAATATTTTGAGTTGCTTTTCTTATTTGTTTGATTCTTCTGAGATTTTCCAAGTTGGACAATGCACCATGGTAAGTTTGGGATGAGTGAGAAGGTTGCCTTTCCATTGAAGAATGAAAAAAGGGTGACTGCCTAGGGGAGGTGGCAAAGGAGAATTGGCAAGATCCTCAAGAAGAGACGCATGCTCTAGGAGACAGATGCGTTCAGGGATGTTGAAGAAATTGCTGTAAAGAAGTATTTGATCTCTTGAAACCATTCATACTAGCCTGTTGTGATGACCCTCGTGTTGCAGTGATCTTTAAGCCCCTGCTTTGATTCAAGAAAAATGTAAATCATTAAGTATTCTTTCAGTTTAATGTTCATAGACAAATCATGCTTCCAGAGCTCCAGTGTGTTTCAAAAACAGTTTGATCTACATAAACATTAGAACTCTGTTTCTTCAATTAATACCGCTTTCTCAGAGATAACATGCAGGAAAATTCAATTTCATGCTTCTCCAAGTATCTCAAATGCTGACTTAATAGTACTCTATTGTACTGTTGCATTTTGCCCTATTGATACAGTGTTGGTATCAATAAAAATGACATAAAATCTAAGAAATATGAATTAAACATTTCCCAAAACTCACTGTATAATAATTTCTTACAAATTGGCCATCTTGTCCCAACTTAATATACTGTAACAAAGGGTCAATTGCTCACTCCTTCCATTGGTCTAATGACTCTGTGAGGCTTTAGCATTCAAAGTAACGAAGCATATAACAACTATATGCAGTGAAAGGCTTCTAATCCTCTTGGAAAATTCTCCAGTTGCCAAAGATCTTTTCATACTGTGGGAACCAGCTCATGTTCTTTCCTTCCCATATGCATTTCAGAAAGATGATCCTGATGACTCCCCAATAGAACTCAGCAAAGTACAGAGTGTGAAAGTTGTGGCCAGGAAACGCAGGGACCGCTCCCTCCCTCGGGCTTTTGAAATCTTCACAGACAATAAAACCTATGTTTTCAAGGCCAAGGATGAGAAGAATGCAGAAGAGTGGCTCCAGTGCATCAATGTGGCTGTTGCCCAAGCAAAAGAAAGGGAAAGTAGAGAAGTAACCACATATCTGTAGGGATTTGCAAGCCAACCTCACACTGATTGTATACAATGGGCATTGCATTATCACTGCCAATGTCAAGAAAAAAGAGATAAATTAGCCAAGTCACATTGTGTTTTTACTGAATGGAACAGTTTTCCCTAAGAAGCAGAACCCAAAAGTGGCAGGATTTTTATACATTTCGTATTCTAATGGCACCTGCATTAACTCCAGAACATCTGTATGATGCATTCAGGAAAAGGAGCTACAGATGATACATGGAAGAAAGGGGAGAGTCAGGGATCTAGGAACCCCTGTAGATATGCCATTGTAAGTTGTAAGAATACAACTTCACAAGGTACCTGAAATACTTATCCCAAGGAAAGATTAAGCACCTCTGATGAAAACTATAGTCTGTCAAAGTATTAGAAGAAAAGTAAAGCCCTATGAGGAAAAGTCAAACATATAACTTAATATAGACATACAATTATGTTTATTCTTTCCTAATGCAAATGAGGCTAACACATGGTAAAATTGTTCTCAAGTGAAGACAGTTATGTAATTAAATGTCTGTCTTTCCGAACAACTTATCTGATTATTCTGTTTAGGTTCACATAACATGATCTAAAGTTTAGGTACTTAGATATATCTATTGCCCAAGGCAGTAAGTGTAAGCTACAACAAGCACAGAAAACCATTTTCACCATCTTCAAAGTATGTGCCATTTCCATCAAGTTTTGAGATGTTACAGTTCTATACTTTTCTTCTTTATATTCAGTCGTTTAATATCTCCAAATTACATTTTATGGTTTTTTCCATCACTCATATGAAAAAAAAAAATTAAGCTGTGGCAGGCAGAATTATAGGATGATTCCCAATGGTCTATACCCTGACCCTTCCCCTTGACTTATAACTTGCTTCTAACTAATAGAATATGGCAAAAAGAATAGGATAGTCTCTCCCATGACTATGGTACATTACGTGGCAAAGGTGAAGAAGTTTCTTAATCAACTGACTTTGAGTCAGTCAAAAGGATATGCACAAAAGTGTGCATGATCTAATCACATGAACCCTTTAAAAAAGAGTGAACAAGTCAGAGACTCTCTCTTCCACTGGCTTTGAATAAGCAAACTGCAATGAATTCTACAACTTTAAGGGAATGGATTTTGCCAACAACCAATGAGCTTGGAAGAAGATCCCAGCCCCAGCCAACACCTTGACTACAGCTTTGCAAAACCCTGAGCAGAGGACCTGGGTAAGCCATGCTTGGACATATGACCCAGGAGAACTTTGAGATAATAAATATATGCTGTTTTAAGTGACCAAGTGTGTGGAAATTTGTTCCATAACTATAGATAATTAATACAAAAGCTAACTTGGAATGCATATAAGAGGACTACAGAAACCTAGAAAAAAATGTAAGTAGTCAATTCCCTTAATTCTACCTTGACTCTACTGATAACTCATGAGGACAGGAAATACATAAGAGGCCAGGTTTGAAAAAGGAAACAATTGAATTTTAACATGTAAAGTTTGAGGGTATTGGGAGTCACAGAAGTTATTACAAATTGAAAACAGTTCTGGGGGGTCAAGATTTTGCCTCATGGGATATATATATGGTCACCAAAGATGTGGAATTTGCTGAAATTACTCAGGAAGAATAAGACAAAAGAACTAATAAGGGCTTCTTTGGGATACCTAACTTTTAAACAAAGGAACACTGGATTGGCTGGTTAGTGTTCAGAGATGTTACAGACCAGGGGAAACAACGTCACAAATGCCAAATAAATAAGGCTTTCAGGAAATGGGAAAGGTTAACAATGTAAAATCCTGAAGAGTAATCACTTAAGATAAAGAATGAGCTTTACAATCAGGAAGCAATTGGCATTACTGGTAGGAATAATTTCATTGGAGTAATGACATAAAAGTCAAATTTCAGTGGGTTAAAGAATCAAAAGGAGATTAGGAGTTTAAAGCAATAATTGGACTCTATTTTCAACAAATTGGGGCTAAGATACAGAAAGTGTTTTGTTGTTTGTTCTAAAGATGAATTAGACTTGGGGGGCGGGGCGTGGTTGTTAACATGCAAAAAGAAAGAAGAAAAACAACTCTGCTTGAGCAAAGTTTCCAGAAGTGGTGGGAAAAGGATTAAAATTCATGCCATAGCAATTTATGGAACAGTTAGCAAGCAACAGGTACCATGCTTGGCCTGGAGATAGAAAAGTAAAAGACCCAGCTCTTCCCCTCAAGGATTTTATAGCGTAGTAGAAGAGATAATCACGTAGAACAAAAATTGAAATGCTCAAGTGCCTTGATGGAAGTTTGTACAGGGTCCCGTGGAAATACAGAAGGCACCACTGTAATTGACTCTGAACTCAAAGCCAAAGCATGGGCTCCCTCACTGTTTCCCAGAGCTGTTAGAGAATGAACTTGTCCTAAAGAGCTAAGAGTGTCGAGGGCGGACAAGGAAACAATGGTCAGTAGAGGGAACCACACTGCAAAAGCACAGGAGGGAAAGGGAACATGGTCCATTTGCAAAACCGCAAGTCCTTATTAGGATGGGAACATGGGTGGGAGGCAGGGGGGTTGCTGTTGTGCTGTTGAGGAATGGTACATAATGATGCTGGAGAGACCTATAAGGCCACAGCATAAAGAGCTTGGTTCCATACTAAGGATCTTGAACCTTTCTTAAAAAGGTTTTAAGATTTGCATTTAGAGAAATAATTTTGATAGTGGTATTACAGAATGGATTGTAAAGATATAAAAAGTTGTAGCAGGGAAATCATTTGGGACATTCTTAGAAGTGGTGAGGTGTAGTGGCAGAGGAGACAGAGGGGAATGGAAATGCAAGAAAAATAGTGAATTAGTAAAATGGATTGGATACTGGTGGTCTGGATGAGCCGAGGTATAGGAATGGGAAGGAGTCTCTCATGACCCCTAGGTGCTTTCTTGAGAAATTTGATGCATGGTGGTAGCATTTACTGAGATAGAAAATTCAGAAGCAACAGTTTAAGAGGTGAGGCAAATGGTAAATTTAATTTTAATGTATATATTTAGAGTATAGATACATGATTGATCTTAGACTAGGGAGACATCTCCTATGAAGTCAGGCAGGAAAAGGTGAGCAGACATACAGTTGTAAATGAGTCTCTAAATATTATGTTGAAATCTACCAGCCATTCTTAAGAGTCAGTTGAGTAACCAAGCTGTTTAATTAATTAGAAAAAAGCTGGTAACAGACAAATGGAATATTAAGTGACACCACATTAGTTATTAATTTAAAGGCCAACAATGTGTTCAAACCTTTTGTAGCAGAGAGATTACGGTAAAACTCAACCTGTTTATATACTGATTCTGTTTTCACTGAATGCTTATCCTAAGAAGAGAATGGACCCACCAGCTCAAGTTGAGAGAAATGAACTATTTTTGTTACTTGTTACAGTCCTTGTGATTTCATTAACTGGATGCCTCTAGTTTAGAATACAATTCTCAGAGCCTTTGGATCAAATCTAAAGAGAAATAAATGTATGAAGTATGAATAATGATCTTTCTGGTTTCATTCCATGGTGCTGTAGTCATTCCAAATGCAAACAAATTCTCCCAGGTTTAGAATCACACTGCAATTTCAGAATCATCAGCTTCCCACTGATATTTCTGGCACTCCCACTGCCATTGCCAGCTAGCTCACCACAGAGTGCCCTTTCCCAAGAGGGCTGTAGCTCCTGATCCTGAGCTAAGAAGAAACCACTCTTCTAAACATATTTAAACCTTTAAAAATGTTGGGATGAATACAATTATAATCATGGTTAGAAATTCAAGTGGTTTTCATTTTCATTCTATTTCGATTCTTTTTCCCTCTCAGATAGCTGTGGAAACAAACGTTTATGTGTGAGACTCTCATCTGGTTATTTCTTGAGAACCTGGAGTTTGGCGAAAATAAATGTTCCATATTTTGCTAACATGACTTTTCTGGAAGATCCTTTGTTGGTGAGGTTGAGAGACATTTATTCAGTGATCTCCAATTCACCTACTTTCTGTAGGCACTTTTGGGCCTATTATTGTAACTTTATTCTCAGGCATAAATAAAAGATTACTGGGTTGAAAAATTACCCTTGGGAAATCTCTCTCTCAATTTAAAAGTAAATTTACATTTAAAAATTACTTTTAGGGGGGCGCCTGTGTGGCTCAGTCAGTTAAGCTTCTGACTTCGGCTCAGGTCATGATCTCACGGTCTGTGAGTTAGAGCCCTGCGTCCAGTTCTGTGCTGATAGCTCAGAGCCTGGGGCCTGCTTCAGATTCTGTGTCTCCCTCTCTCTCTGACCCTCCCCCATTCATGCTCTGTCTCTCTCTGTCTCAAAAATAAATAAACATTAAAAAAAAATTTTTAATTACTTTTAGGAAAAAGTTGCAAGATGAGGTAAGGGAATATATAGGTGGAATTCATGGTGCATTGCAGAGAAGTGAAAACCATAAATGCTCTAGCCAGGATTTCTAGTCCCCAAAATCTAAGTTTTGAGATGAAAAACTCAAAATGTCATCTGGTTCCAGAATAGCTCCAGTTTATAGGCCTACTGGAGCAACTCTTCCCCAAAGGTGCTTCTGAAGGACAGAGGGGTTGGAAAACCAGGGAGATTTCTACAAAGGCAGTGAAGTCTAGAGAAAATGGCACAGGCTGTGAGCACAGACACACGAGGATTCAAGTCCTAGCTCTACCAAAACTAAATTAACAGCCTGAGCAAATTACTCATCTCTCATCTCTTGGTTGGGAACCATAACGTCTATGGAACAGAACTGCTATGAAGCTTAAATGTCAAGTAATAGCATCCAGCAGAAAACCATGGGTACTTGATGCACTCCATTTTTTACACACCACTAAGGGAGGAAAAAAATCCTACAAATGAAATTACGATGCTATGTCTTAATAACAATATAATCAGTGCTGTTTTACTTCCAAATGTCTTTTATCTATTCTGAGAGATTTAGTAGTTTCTTCTGACTTCAGGTACCTCGAGTGATGTGTGACAGGTAATCCTTTTGTATCTATTTCAGCAACAAAATGAAACCCAGCCTCATCTACATGTTGATCTCTTCCTTTATTGGATAAAACATTTAGTGGCTGCTTTGCAAGTCTTGTGGACCTGTAGTCATTTCTCCAGTGATGGCTCTTCGGTTCCCTGATGCCATATTTCATCCCACCCTTCTATTTCTTTGCCTCTCTATGTACATGATAACTTTTTGTCTCAAAATCAAATGATCTTATTATTTTCAAGACATGCTAAATAGCAATTAACATGTGTAGTGTTGACCATGCACGTAACTCAATTGAAGTAACAACACAGAGAACTGGGACCAAGTTTGAGTGACACCCAGTCATAGTCATTCCTGGTGGATTACAACTGCAAAACACACTGATTATCAGGCACATCCCAATTTCAGAACTTAAAATACGGGAGAAAAAAATCTAAATAAATGAGCAAAAGTATTAATTTAAGAGTTCTACATGCATTTGTTTCACAGTTATCAAAACTGTATATAAAAGTTTTTTTGTGAACAGTAAAGCATATTACAAAGGTATTTTTTGTATTTAAAAATGGTTATAATTTGCCCAATACATCCATTCTCAAAGGTATGAGATCAGCCATTTCTGTGAATATTTACCTTCTGTATTACTGGAGATCTCCAGAGAAAATAGAACAAATAGGATATATAGAGAATGATCTATAAGAGGGGATTTATTATAGGAATTGCGTCACATGGTTACAGAGGGCAAGAAGTCCACAATCTGCCATCTGCAAGCTGGAGACCCAGGAAAGACAGTGGTGTCATTCTGTCCAAGTCAAAAGTCCTGGGAACCAGGGAGCCACTGGTTTTGGTTCTGGAGTCTGGAGGCCCAAGAGCCAGGAGTTATGATGTCCAAGAGCAGAAGAAGATGCACATCCCAGCGCAAGAAGAGAGAAAGAATCCTCCCTTCCTTTGCCATCTTGTTCCATTCAGGCCCCCAGTGATGCCCACCCAAATCAGGTGAGGCTGGATCTCTTTACTCAGTCTATTGAATCAAATGCTAATCTCTTCCAGAAATACCCTCAGAGACACACCCAGAAATAATGTTTTTCCAGCTCTCTGGGCATCCCTTAGGCCAATCAGGTCGACACATAAAGTTAACCATCACACTATCTCTTTTGATGGAAATAAAGATGGTTACACAAGCCATGTTCCTGGTGCCTACCCTCCTGTGTTCTCCTTTATCCATGTTCCTCTTATGGCAGGGAAGCTAATAGGGAATGGGCCAACGTGGCAGGAGTGAGGGTATGGGGCACTGATATTTCTTTTATTCACTGTCACAGATTGGAGAGCATGGAGGTGAAATTAGGATGGTGTGTAAGGAGGAATTCCAGACCAAAAGGAGGAGCATTTCCAGAAGAGGCCCTCAAGGTCAATGATACCAGAGACAAAAGGAGGGAGGAAAAGCATCTGATGAAGTTGTAAGCTGGGGAACTAGAGAAGAGCAGAGGGAGGCACAAGGCAGAGCAGGTGGAACTGATGAGGGCTTTAGGACCTTTAAAGGAAGACACTAATTCCCAGGGCCGGCTTTTCTTAGGCACTTGCCCAGGTGAGGAGAGCTCTGGTCAATGTCCTATATACCAGATCATGTAAGGCCCTCTAGCTGTGGACTTGGCAAAACAGGCAACCAGCTCCCCCAAAGGCCTTACAGAGCCTGGTCCTGCCACGAGACCCCAGCCTTGCAGGGGATGTTCCATATTGACATTCTTCTCATTCTATACCCCCAACCCAGTACATATTGAACTTGTCTACTTCAAAGAAAAACTTTCTGATGGTATGGGGAGGGGGAGCTGGAAATTCTGAAACCTTATTATGCATTTTTCTGTAAGAATATAATCAGACACATTGTGTTTACACAGTTCCTTATGCCTTTATGGGCAAACCTTTTTAAATTTTGAATCCAATAGAAAGAAAATGCATTTCCTCTGTCTTGCGATCAATGAAATGATTAAGATTCACTTTGGTACTGAGAACCGAGAAGAGTTTAAAGAAGTCAAATAATGTAAAGATATAAAGTACTCAAACAAGTGATAGACTCATTTGTTCATTGGAATAACAGTACTCCACTGGAAACTATGGGTGGGGGGCAGTAAGAGTGAATTCTAGTTTTTCCCTTTTGAATTCTTTTTTTGCCTTATTTTATTTTTTGACTACCAGTCCACTCACATCAGTAATGCCCAAGGTACAACACACTTATACACAAAAACAAACACATATTCTTTTATATGGGCTTAATGACAACAAAACAATGGTTTTCACCAGGCATTGTAGAAGTCAATCTTATTACTTCATTATC